TCGGCCGGCTCGCAGGCCCCCGCGCGGCCGGCATGCATTCCCCCGCGAGCCGGCTTGTAGACCCCCCGTCGCTTCACTCGCGCCCGCTCGCATGCCTACCGGCGGGCCGCCTCGCGGACCCCCTACGCGCCCGCTCACATTCCCACTAGGGGCTGGCTCGCATGCCCCCTGCTCTTACGCTCGTAGATCCTCCGCGGGTTGGCTCGCATGCAACCCGCAGGCCGGATCGCGGACCCCCTGCGGCCGGCTCGCGGACCACCTTCGCGCCCACTCGCATGATGGCTCGCGGACCCCCGCCGCCTCGCTCGCGCTCGCTCGCATGCCCCATGTGGATCGGCTCGCGGACCACCTTCATGCCCACTCACATGCCCCCTACAAGATGGCTCGCGGATCCCTTGCTTCCACGCTCACGCCCGCTCACATGCCCCTCGCGGCCGGCTCGCGTACCCCCGGCGGCCGGTCGCATGCCTACCGTAGGCTCCCTCATGGACCTCTTGCACGCCAACTCGCTTGCCCCTACAGGCCGCCTCGCGGACCCCCTACGCGCCCGCTAGTATGCCCACCGTGGGCCGGCTCGCGGACCCCCCGCGCGCCCACTCGCATGCTCCCCGCGGGCCGGCTCGCGGACCCCCGCTTCCTCGCTTGCGCCCGCTCGCATGCCCCCGCGCGGCTAGCTCGCAGACCCCTCGTGCGCCCGGTCGGAGACCCCCGGGGCCGGCACGCATGCCCTCTGCGGGCCGGCCGGCGGACCCCCTACGCGCCCGGTCGCGGACCCCCGTGGGCCGGCACGCATGCCCCCCGTCGCCGCCGCTCGCGCTTGCCCGCATGCCCCATGCGGGCTAGCTCACGCACCCTTTGTGCGCCCGCTCGCGGACCCCCGTGGGCCGTCGCGCATGCCCCCCGTGGGATGGCTCACAAACCCCCTGCGCTCCCCGCTCGTATGCCCACTACGCGCCCGTTCGCTCGCCCCCGCGGGCCGGCTTCGCAGCCCCATGCGCTCCTCGCTCGCGCCTAACCGAGGACGATGGGTGCACCGGCTCACGGGACTCCCGCACGCGGTGACCGTCCCAGTACGCCAAAGGAGGTGAGGAGCAACTTCGCTAGGCGGATGGGATAGCCGCTGTGCCCGGCTTCGTCAAATTTCTACTTTCCGGCTTGAAAATTTGTCCCTTTCAAACAAAAACCTTCCAAATAATTCCAAAATGTTATTATTGTACTTCGTCACATTTTTTGGATCGTTTCGACTTATTTTCTTTTTTTTTGATTTTCTGCATTTTTAATGTTCAAAAAATAAAAAAGGATACTTCCCATTGTTGAAAAATTCTAAAACTTTTCCAGAAAATAGATTGGATTTTTCCAAACTTGTGTACAAAATTTCAGCTCAAAATTAAAAAAATTGAATTTTTTAGAGCGGGGGTGACGAGTGGGACCTAGTAGTGTCTATCCTCGCCGTAGCCGAAATTCTACATATTACTCTTATAGGGGGTAGCTGCCTGCTTGCCCATGAGCGCCAGCCATGGGTCCTAGTGTAGGAGCATTGTGGGTGGTGTCTTGGCTCTCGTTCTTGGTGGGGTTGCTCATGTGCCGGCCAGTGAATGTTCCCGTTCGTCGGTGACCCCCATCGGCCACTTTCTCCGACGACCCCTCCGAGTGACCCTCGGATTTTTTATATGTAGCCTTTTCATGATTTTTTTATGCCCGTGCTTTTGCCAACCGGTGAGCTAGCAACTGTGGGTGTTTTATTTGCTTTCGACAAGCACATGGTTGGTTTTTGTTATCGCAATGCCAAGTTAAGAAGGTGGCTGGTTTGAAGCTACCGGGATATTGCATCGGGCTTAGGAATTCCAATGAGACTTTATGCAAGCACTTGCTCGGGCATTAAGTTGTTTTGCTTATGTCGACACATGGGCTCCCCGCGGAATCCTTCGAGCCTTTTTCGTGATGATATCTCCACAGCTCGAGGCCCGGCCATCGATTTTCAAGCCGAGTGGCAAATGTGTGTGTGTAGGTGGCCGGTCCGATGCCCCGGTCGAACGTACCGACGGGCTTAGGGATTCCAAGGAGAGCTTTACGTTAGTGCTTGCATAGCATTATGTTGCTATACTTGTGCCGAAGCGTGCGCTCTCCTTGCAATCCCTCACCCTTAGTCACGATCGTTCCCCGACGCCCAAGGCCCGGGCATCGACATTTCACATCGAGTGTCAAAGGTGGGTTTGTAGGTGGTCGCTCCGATGCCGCTCATGACGTAGTGATGGGCTTGGGGATTCCAATGAGAGCTTTAGGCTAGCGCTTACATGGCATTGAGTTGTTGTGCTTGCGCCAATGCATGGCATTGATTGCTCGTGCTTGTGCCAATGAATACGCTCTACGCACAATCCCCAAGGCATTCGTTGCGATCGTATCCTCACGACCAAGGCCTACGCATTGGCGTTTTGAGCCGAGTTGCAAAGGTGGGTGCGCAGTGGCCCGTCCAATGCCGCCGGTACGTAGCGACTAGCTTGGGGATTCCAATGAGAGCTTTACGCTAGCGCTTGCATGGCATTGAGTTGCTGTGCTTATGCCGAGACATGCGCTCTCTACGCAATGCCCAAGGCCTTCGTCGTGATCGTAGCCCGACGCGCCAAGGCCTTGGCATCGACATTTCAAACGAAGTGGCAAAGGTGGGCACGCAGGTGTCCGGTCCAATGCTAGCCACTGGGACGTAGCGAAGGGCTTGGGGATTCAAATGAGAGCTTAACGCAAGCGCTTGCATGGCATTAAGTTGTCGTACTTGTGCCGACGCATGCGATCTCACGTGCAATCCCTTGGCCTATGCCATGATCGTATCCCGATGGCCAAGGCTTGGGCTTCGGCATCCTAGCCGTGGCAAGTGTCCCTTTTTTCGAATGTCTCCATCTCGTCCCTTCCAGCCTTTACTGCGACCGTCCTTTTGAAATCTTTTACATCCGGCGATGCGAGCTTTGATCTTGCTTCGAGTGTTTCCATTTTACTCTTTTGGGCCGTGGTTCGCTCTTCGGGATCGATGTCATTGTAGGTGGTGGCGCATGAGCGATCGTCGGCCGTTTGTGTTGGCAAGCTCTATGCCGGTGCAATGAACCGTTGGCTCCGCGGTCCCCGTCATATCCGGCCCAAGAGCCCATAGGGCCTCCGCGGTGATGAGGGGTTCCCGTGTCGCGTACCCTTTCGTGGTGGAATTAGAATTTGACGCCGTCCCTCTCTCGCTTTGTGCCTCCTCTAAGTGTGCGTGGTGGATCTTTGTTATGGCGCTTGTGTTCCGGCCGAGCGGACTTCCGTCGAATTGGCCCACTCGCGACCGCTCATGCTTTCGGATGTAGAATTTGTTGCTCGTGTAGGGTTCTCCACCTCGTAATAGCCCCGTTCGAGTGATCTTTGCTCGATAAGAATGACCTCTCGCGCTCGACTTGTCTTCTCATCTCTTTGACGTTGGGGATTGTTCGAGTTGCGGTGTCGTAAAGGAATGCTACCCGGTTGATCCCGCCGTAGTCATATGCTTGTCTCAAAGATTAAGCCATGCATGTGTAAGTATGAACTAATTTAGACTATGAAACTGCGAATGGCTCATTAAATCAATTATAGTTTGTTTGATGGTATTTGCTACTCGGATAACCGTAGTAACTCTAAAGCTAATACGTGCAACAAACCCTAACTTCGGAAGGGATGCATTTATTAGATAAAAGGTCGACGCGAGCTCGCCGTTGCTCGATGATTCATGATAACTTGACGGATCGCACGCCATCGTGCCGCAACGCATCATTCAAATTTCGCCCTATCAACTTTCGATGGTAGGATAGAGGCCTACCATGGTGGTGACGGGTGATGGAGAATTAGGGTTCGATTCCGAAGAGGGAGCCCGAGAAACGGCTACCACATCCAAGGAAGGTAGTAGGCACGTAAATTACCCAATCCTAACACGGGGAGGTAGTGACAATAAATAACAATACCGGCTCTTCGAGTCCGGTAATTGGAATGAGTACAATCTAAATCCCTTAACAAGGATCCATTGGAGGGCAAGTCTGGTGCCGACAGCTCGTGGTAATTCTAGCTTCAATAGCATATATTTAAGTTGTTGCAGCTTAAAAAGCTCATAGTTGGACTTTGGGTTGGGTCGGCCGGTCCACCTCGGGTGTGCACCGGTCGCCTCGTCCCTTCTACCGGTGATGCGCTCTTGGCCTTAATCGACCGGGTCATGCCTCCGATGCTATTACTTTGAAGAAATTAGAGTGCTCAAAGCAAGCCTACGCTCCGAATACATTAGCATGGGATAATATCATAGGATTTCGATCCTATTGTGTTAGCCTTCGGGATCGGAGTAATGATTAACGAGGACAAGTCGAGGGCCTTCGTATTTCATAGTCGTAGGTGAAATTCCTCGATTTATGAAAGACGAACAACCGCGAAAGTATTTGCCAAGGATGTTTTCATTAATCAAGAACGAAAGTTAGGGGCTCGAAGACGATCGGATACCGTCCTAGTCTCAACCATAAACGATGCCAACCAGGGATTGGCAAATGTTGCTTATAGGACTCCGCTAGCACCTTATGAGAAATCAAATTTTTTGGGTTCCGAGGGGAGTATGGTTACAAGGCTGAAACTTAAAGGAATTGACGAAGGGCACCACCGGGAGTGGAGCCCGTAGCTTAATTTGACTCAACACGGGAAGCTTACCAAGTCCGGACATAGTAAGGATTGATAGACCGAGAGCTCTTTCTTTTTTTTTTTTTTAAATGTAAGTATATAAATCAAAGGAAACCAACTGGAAAAAGAACTAGCAAGAGTAGCATTTACAAGATTTACGAAAATTGTGAACGAGCTCCCAATGAAACAAAAAACAATGAGCTAGCCACTAGGTGGTTATTCCAGGAATCAAAACGAGCTACAGAGATTCCGGGAAAAAACCAAATAGGGACCATATGCTAACTAACCGGAACCATTTACAAAGGCTATATAAGCATGCAAAAACATTGCTAAGTAAGCACTAAATGAAACCAACAATATACAAAATAATAGCCATCAATTTACAAAACCAACAAGCAAGATCGACAGAAACAACGAGAACCGACCGGAGCATCGGTACCAAGGCGTGCAAAGAGGTTATGAGCGGGAGGGTTCGCCTACCAACCAGAGCTAGACAAGGGAGGAGACCGCATGATAAAAGAAGGGGAGACAGGAGCCGGCAGGAGCGAGCAGGACCGAGCCGGGTAGAAGCAAAAGGGGAGCAAGACCTGGACAAGCTAGGAGGTGAGACTAGGCCCAACCTCCACAGCGAATAAGGGGTCGAACACAACGAGTAGACCTAGCCTAGTGAAGCCCACTCGGAATATGAGACAAGCGAGTGAGGAGGCCATGAGGAGGCGGACTCGCAAGTCGGCCGGGCAGGTGTCCAAATAGAGGCAAGCCAACGGAGGCATAGCTCCCAAACCCAAACCAACCAGCGAGCCAAAAAAAAAGAAAAAAAAACTCTGCAACCAGAGCCAATGACAAGGGCACCCATACAGACCCAACCGGAATCGAAGCTAGAGCCCACCCAAACCAACGAAGTAGACTCCGCAACCGGACTCGAATAGGCCGGAAGGAACTAGCCGGGCATGGAATAATATCTAACCAAGCAAGTAGAAGCAAAACCAATCAACTTTGATCAATATGTGGCAATAGCCAAGGAGTTGGCAATGGTAAAACTCAATAAGACCCCCGGACTAGGAGAGGCTAGCGATCGCAACATAGTATCCGAGACGAGACCCAAACAAAGGCTCAACCCTTGAGCGGAATAGCAAAACTAAGAACCAAGCAGCAACAACCTAACCGAGAGAAGAACTCTATGAACTCACCAAAGAATTCAAGGCTAGCCCATAGATAAGAGGAGGGGGAATGAAAATAGAAAACCATATAGAAAATAATCTAAAATTTACGAAACACATTGTCCACCAAGCTAGCCGAGCCATCAAAGGCGCGTCCGTTTCTTTCTTCCCATATGACATAAACTATGATACTACGGGCCACTCTCCTTATTTTCGCTTCAAGATTGTTACGAAAATAAGAGAGGCCTCCGATAGCACTAGTGAGCGTATGCATACTTCTACGAATTCGTAGCCACTCGCTTAATTTTCAACCGGAGGTTAGCCGTCCAAGGCAGGGAGAAGAACAAATGGTTATGTGATTCGATAGCTTGATCACAAAGAAGACATGCATCACTAAGTAGGCGTAAAACGGAGATAGTTCTTATTTTTTAAGGCACCCCTAGTAGCAAGCCAAAGAATAAAGGAATGTCGTGGCATGGACCATGACTCCCAAATCACCCTACCCCACAACACGAGTTCCCCGCTAGCCTAAGCCGTGTATATGCAATATTAGAGAAACTTCCCTCTACCAAGTTCCACCGAGCAAGCTCACGTATAGCCGCATCTTTACTCTCATATTTCACAACAAGCAAGTCTTTCAAATCGAGAATAGCTTTCCACAACGACGAAGCATTACGATGGGCGGCAACGTCCCATAGTCGGCAATCTTGTAAGTAGAAGTGATGGACCCGAGCGAATCTAAATGGAGTCGACCTCGAGGTGTATGTCCCGCAGCCTTTTAGCCGGAAAACTTTGATTTTTCACTTTGATGTCAAAGACTCCTAGGCCACCTTCCGATTTTGGGGAACGAGAGGCTTTTCCAAGCCACCAAAGCCGAAGAGCTCCTATTAACATCTCCCATCCATAAAAATTCGACACATACCGGTGATACGTGCAATAACCACGAGCAGACATAGGAAAAATAACAAACCGGAATTGTATCATGCTAAAGAAGATGGATCCGAGAAGCTCGAGCCTACCCGCATAAGAAAGATGTTTTTCGATCCGGCTCCGAATCGCGGATTCAAGACCGTGTAGCAAAGGGGAAACCGACTAGCAAGTAGGCGATGAGGGCTTAGAGGGACCCCCGTGTATTTGAAGGGTAAAGAGCCCTCACGGAACCTAGTTTCTTGGAGGATGGAGTTTTTCAAGTCACTTCCCACCCCACCGAAGAAGATCGAGGACTTGGCCACATTGATGGCTAGGCCGGATACGATACCAAAGGTAGACAGTGGTCGGATAGAATCTTAATAGAGCGAGCATCTCCACGGCTAAGCAACAAGACATCACCCGCAAAGGCTAGGTGGGTGATGGCATGGATCCCACATCGAGGGTGGAAGCGAAAGTCGAATTTCTTGTTACAACCTGCAAGTAAGCGAGAGAAGTATTCCATGCGGACCACAAATAGGTAGGGAGAGAGAGGGTCACCTTGCCTAACACCTCGCTTTTCCTAGGAAAAACCCAAACGAGCCCTCGTTGACTAAAATGGAGTAGGAAGCCGATTCTACACATGTCATAATCCAACCAACAAATTTGCCCGGAAAGCCCAATTGCGGTAGAGAACCGTTTCGAGAAACCCCATTGCACGAGTCGGAGGCCTTACGGAAATCAATCTTCATTAGGCACCTCGAAGAAGATCGTTTTCGTCCATACGATTGAAGCAACTCCCGAACCAAGCAAAACTACACCAACCGGTCTTTCCATACATCGAACACATCTCCTCAAAGAGTTAAACCAAAAACAAGACAAAAACAAGGTAATTGGTATAGAAAATCCATACTTTTCAAAATCATGCATAACGAACCCCCAACCATCGGCTTAGACTAGAAATGCAGCCAAATTCATCACCCTCACCAAGAATTCTCTCAAAAACGCTCATAGTGTTTAGGGTGAATGTATTTGTCACTCTCAAGTCAATGCACGGAAGAATCCTAACCATAAGCTTGCCAAGCTATCATATCTCCACTACTAAGTATTAAATCAAATGCAAAAATCAAAAGGTCTTATGATAGGGTGAAATGGGGTTATGGGTGAGGTTTGGTGGAGGCTAATTTGGTCTAAACAAGTCAAGAATCCTACATAAATTTCAACCTTTAAATTCTGACTTGCTCAAGCTTTACATGCTCACTTTTTATTTTTCCTAAGTTGCTAATCCCAATATGTTTCCTCTATTATTTCTTTCTCGTCTTTTCCTTTCTACTGCTTGCTTTTTTGTTTCTTTCTCTTACTTTTCTTTTTCTTTTTCTTTTTTTTAAGCATACTAATTACAGCAGAAACATGCACTAGTGAATTACAAGCATCGAGACAAGCAACCATTTTTGTAATTTCTTCAACAAAATCGGAATCTCAATTAATTAGACATGAACAAAATTCTTGACCTAGGTTCAAACAGGGGTTATGTATCAAATAAAGAGGTTGATTGGTTTATATTATGGTTATTTAATCAAGAAAAGGCTAAGGCTCAAACTTGGCTCCTAAGGGTAAAAATCGTGGTAGGCTTTTAAGAGGTTTAAAATTGGCTAATCCTAGGTGCCCTTATCATCTTAATGCATTTAGTCCAAATATGTAGTCTCAAAATGTATAGCAAGGCAAGTTCTAGAAGAATTCAACTTACAAAGACAACACACAATCAAGAAATAAATAGAGCTTATATAAATGCATGCTCAAAGGTTCAAAAGCTCACATATATGTGTTTTGTGTGAAATTGACTCATTTCTCACTTAAACCGATTATTGGGGGGTTGTTGTACACAAAGATGTCAAGCAAGAGTGTCCACATTTTCATGCCCATTCCTATCTCATTTTTATCCAACTTAATGATTCAAATAATTCCAATCCATTTCAAGACAAGTTTCAACAAAATTGAGGATTTCAAAAGGGGTTTAACTAACGGAATGTCAGCAAAATTAAGGATAGCATGGCCATAAGTAAGCAAAAATTCACAACAACAAGCATACACAACCGCAAGACAAACCCTCCCCCACACTTAGGCAACACATTGTCCTCAATGTGGACTCCATTCAACAACAACAACTCAACAACACAACCGAAATAAAAATAAATTGAGGTGCAACCGAGAGGTCAAAGAAAAACAAAATAAATGAAACAAAAATTGAAAAAGGTAAAGGGAAAGAAAACTTCTCCAAACGTAGCACCACTATGGGGTAGGGGGAAATGGGGGTTGAAGCCTTGAGTGGCAAAATAAGCCATAAGGTTGCGTTCCATATGCCGGAGACGGTGATCCAAGTGAGAGAGAGGATCGGCAGGAGCTAGATTTGGAGGGAGAGGGCCGCCGGGTCCCGGAGCCTCTAACTAGGGCGAGCTTGGCTCGAGTATCCTCCTACTGGGGCCGCTGGCTACTACCTCTTGGCATGGCGAGAGGGAGCTAGATGGGGTCTCCGTGTGAACACCGTGAAGATGGAGGGATGTTGGGTCCCGTGGCACAAAAACATAGGTGCCGCTGTCTTTGAGAGAGAGAAGGCCCATCCCGTCTAAACAAGAAAGATCAAGGGATTCCATAGGGCATGCAATACTCAAGTTGTTATCGATTAGATTGAGGACCCCTAAATTAACGACCAATTGTGTAATGTAGGATCCTAAAATCGGAGGTTTGGAATTTTTACGGACAACGAGTGTAATTGGTGAAGTAACCAATACCCTAAATTTACCATGATATTCTGGTCTAAACACCACAAGAAAAAAAAATTCGATTTTAGTCGTGGTACCAAGCACTATCTCGTCGACCCGAGAAGTTATACGCTAAGAACCTATGGAGGATACGCATCACAGTCGACGCAAATAGGATCCTTTGGAGTGGTTAGGTTGATATGGTTTATCATCAATCGACCATTCACTCCACAAGGTCAATGGGTGGAAATTAGGTCGAAGTTATGTTTGACATGCAAAAATCATCGGATAGAGATTCCAACCGTGAAATAAACCCCATCGCTACATTAAACTCAGTAATGGACATGGAAAATTCATGACCCATTAAGTGAAAGGCAACCACATGTTCAACAAATAAATTAAAATCTTGGGGCTCATTAAACCGAAATGTGGTGTAAAATTCCCTAGTCAACTCAACAAAAGCAAGACAATGGACACTCACATAACCGGTCCATCCCACACCATTGACCAATGCATTAAACTCATCAAGCACCATCAAATGAGAGAGAGAATTTCGATGAATGTACTTACATGGGTATATTTTTCTTTCACAAATCAAACTATACCTCGGTTGGAGTGGTCCTAGTGGAAAAAGTAGTGAACTCTTTCATTTGTAAGTGGATGTTCCTAGGTAGTTCAACCGAACGGGCCGGTGAGGAATCGAAGCATGGGAAGCATGACCGGCATATGTGGTTAGTGTGGTGGATGATGATAGGTGAATCGAAGGTGGTGGTGGTGGTCCGATGGCTGAATTTGAAGCAGTGGGAGGTTGAGCGATTGGAGGCACGACCGAATGTTTCGATGAGGAATCACTGAAATCGTTGTTCGAATGCCAAATCGCTCGACCGACTCATCGAGCTTGAGCTCGGGTGTGCATGGTGACAACGGGAAGGATGTAACGTGGGGGTTTGTGGGAAGTGTGAAGTGATGGCAGCGACGGGATGGAGAACGAGGGAAAGAGAAAGGATAGTTAGGGTTTTAAGGAAAAGAAGGTGGAGGGAGTTAAGGTCTCGCGTTTCTCCGAAGTGGAGTAAAAGGGGTGAAGTGCCGCATTTCACTTAAATG